ATTCGCAACATTTTATTTTCCAACTCTCATCATCTTTCTGCTGTTACTGGATGTTATAGTTTTAATTTTAGTATGTTAAAAGGGCCCAATATTCCATTTACAAACAGGTGTAAATTGCTTTTTACGACTCTCAGTGGTGTGTGTGTGTGTGTGTGTGTGTGTGTGTGTGTGTGTGTGTGTGTGTGTGTGTGTGTGTGTGTGTGTGTGTGTGTGTGTGTGTGTGTGTGTGTGTCTCCCTGGGCAAATCAATTTGTTATTTGTATCAATGATGTGGTGCTCAGCAGAGTTGGGATCTCACACAATCTACTGTAGATTACAAAAAAAAGAACATGCATGCACAGATATAGACATATATGCAAACACACTCGTACACATGTTTTCATGTGAGAGAATTGCCAAAAGTCATTCTGCTTAGTCAAACGTTTTTGCATTTGCTTGTTACAAGAAGAGCCAAGTAACAAAAGAAGATCCTGTTGCGAAGTATGTCTCTTTTCATGGTCTCTGGAGCTTTCTCCCACGCTGACAACATTATTTTATTTATGTTTCGTAAATAAATATTAACTCGAAACACAAGCTAACTACAGGCAGTAAATCTCACCTGTAAAAAGTCAGTAAATCTTAGGTGTGGTCCAGATTCCGTTGCACATAATCCTGTGTGGAATGTAAAACCACAGTGATCACCAGTGGTTCTGTATGTGCTTCATGACTCTCAAAAGTAAGCTTTCCCCCTTGTAAAATGATTGCTACCCTGCAGAGAACGATGTTTAATCACAATTTGGAGCCAAAGAATAATGATAATGACTATTATCGGTGTAGTTCTGGGCTCCCTTAAGCTTTTTGGAGGCCTATCCGTTTAGTTTCTCACCATGGGATCCATGCTCATTAAAACATACAAGCCTTTTTTATAATGGGGACCAAAACTGAGTAAAAGTGGGTTTACACATTCGGTCGAAGGCTTAGATAGGTCACTATAATGTTGTTCAATAAGGCCATCAATCTACGATGATAGATCATTAATACAGTTTTAAAAAACTAAAGCTAGGGTCCACTTTGGGTCCCGAGCCTGTCTTTGAACAACACTCTATGTATCCCACTAGTGACATTAGAGTGGTATGGCAAATAATTATGCATTATATAACCATTACACAGAACCAGAGACTGATGATAATTACTTTCACCTGTCTAGAGAATGGAGTGCTTATGAATCACAATCTAAAAGACTTTCTGAAGCAGCCTCTAGCCTATATTAAAGCACAGTGTAATGGACAGACACACATGAGAGTAAGTTTAAACCAGTTTGAGAGTGATACGTTTATGAATAATTCTCACACTGACTATTGATTAGAACCTTAAGTCATACTAGATAGATGGAAAATGGATAGATAGTTAGATAGATAGAATGTAAAACAGTTGTACTTAAATCAGCCCATCTAGCATTCGCAGTTGCCCTCTCTCAGCGGTAACATTAGCTTACTGCTGAGGATGTGTCATAATTATAGAGAAGCTGAGAGATTGTGATTAAGGACTTTTACTCCCTAGACAACGACCTAGAAGTGTAATGAATCATTATTGTGAGAGTGTGATTTATAATCAGTGTTTTCCTCAGGAATACCTCACGCTAATGCAGCGTGTTGCCATAAGAATATTCTTTTATGCTGTGTTTTATGACTCAGCATCATAACAGGCACATTTATGTGGAAAAATCGAATGGGCTAAACAAAATATTGGCGGGAAGATGGCTGCAGACTTCAGCTCTCAGCTTGATGACCTTTGAGCACAGGAATGTGGAGGAGAGAGAGAGGGCAGAGTGGATAAGAGGCAACAAGAAGAGCAAGGGGAGCAGCAGAAGAGAGCATATTAACAAACTGCACTTCACACATTTCTCACCCCATCCAGCAGGCATCTGAAGAGCACCTCAAAGGCCCTTACCTGAAATACATGTCAGCTGATCACACACACGTACACACACAAACCAACAGACTCTCCCACGCTCTCTTTCCCCTTGCATCCTCTGTCATTGACTCTTTGACCAAGGATTTTTTTAATGGTTCATCTGTCGGCTCTTTTAATAGAGTAAATAAACTAGTACGCTTTACGGCTTTGCATCCTGAATGCAAATATATCCGTCTTTACGTTGCCCTCCAAGCCAGTTTATTTTTTTCTCCAATTCCCGAGCCAGTGGTTTGTGACTCTTTCCACTGGAAACAAAACTAGCACCAGAAAAGTTATTATATGTTTTGTACAACCTTTCTGTACATATCTTAGTGTGTCTTGTTTTATTCGTCCCGTTTCTAAGAGCATTTTTGGTCTGAACTCTCCCTCTACTTTAACGTAAAAGAGTTGCTAGTGCCCCCTAACCTGCTAAGTATCGACGACAGATTCTACACCTCTGCAACAGACTGATTTAGGAATGGACACAAAGGTCATTGATAATACTTTCAAACATCTAATGCGAAACACTTTGGATGTAGTTTAAGCTTATCATTTAGATCCTTAATTTTGTATAGAAACGTTCTGAAAAGATGTATAACATGATTTCACCTTAATCTGACGAAACCTTATGTGATACCTTCTGTTGTTTTTTTAAATTATAAAAAGAGGTGATCAGAAAACATTCATCTGTTATCCTCGTATTTATAAAAGACATTCTATTTTTCAACTTGACATTATATGTTATTGAGTTTTGGATGGATAGGTTTCCTTTTGGTAAACAACTTCCGTGGCACACCTTCTCAAGTATTTGTGATACCTAGAACTAACAGTTTATGTATTACTATTGTAATACTGGCTTGCCAGTGGATAGAAAAATGTATCTGCAACCTATGCAATATATACTTAATAAACACCTTTCATAGAGAAACCAACATTTGAATATGAACAAATAAGCAACAGCTTTCAAATACATTGTGTGGAACTAATAATAATAGTATAGCATATCCTTCAAAACTGCAATGGTGAAAAGGTATAAAGTTGCATAAAGTTAGATATTAGTATAGAACATGATATATTATATTCAGCAACATCCCATTACTGCAGCAGCATTAATAGTCTTTACTTATTGCTAAGTCGGCTCCTTGAAATCTAAGAACATTTCAGACATGGCATGCAAGGCATATTGCACCATTCATTGCTCTATCTGGGAATTATATAGTGAATAGTTTTATCACTAATGATAGGACGAAATGAGTCATTTAGTGAGTTTAAACTCCGCCTATAGAATGAACAGCAGATATGAAGTGGATTCTAGTACAGACGTCAGAAAAGCCAGATATAACACCAACGAGAAAATGAATCAGCTTTTACACATTCCCTAAAAAGTTGACTTTTAGAGATGAAGGGTTGCTGAAGACACTTTGATGATGTGGAAATGCTATTATGCAACATAAAGTAAGCTTGTGTTTAAACATTGAAAGGTCTTTTAAGTGCAAATATGGGATTAAGTCAGCTTGAGGATTTTTGACATCAGCCCAGCAGTATTGCTAGATATTTGGCAGCTTTTATTTTCTATTACAATCTCATGTTGTTTGCATGAGCTGGATTTGTTTCGTTATATGAACCTTTGTATTTGATGCCAATGAAAGCCATTTGAACATGAGTGAGAGAGAAAGGGATGAGAGAGTGCGCCTGAGAAAGTGTGCTTTTAGAGCTTGTTTCTGTGGTGATTTTTGGACAGAACATCAAAAACACAGCAGCTTGTTCTGTTTGCATCATATCTTACACGAACACGCATACACAGCATCAATACGTTCACAACCCCTCAGAATACACATAACACAAATGCAGCAAATCATTCATCCATCTTTTATTCTATGATGGACCACACATCCGCACCCCTTTGTAAATTTTTGCTAATGTGTACGAGAGGAAAAGCGGGGTGAGCAAAGCGAGAATACAAAAGTAACGGAGTGTGTGGGAGCAGAGGCAGATGAGGAAGACAGAAAGAGAGGGATGTGACACAGGTACAGATGGAAAGAAAGAAACCGAGACATTATGAGGTCAGACATTGGTCTTTCTCCAGGATATTCTCTTTTTTTTCATTTTGTGTTATTGTAGTCCCTTTATAGCATTCAGCTCATTTCCATTTTATTTATTCTATCCTTCCATCCCCTTTATACTTAGTTTTTTGCTAACCATCATTATTCATCCACAGAGTTCCATTAAGACAGAGCTGGTCTAAACTGGTTTCTGTCATGTTGTCTGGTCTCATTTACATTTACATTAGGTTTTAGGCATGCAGCAGATGCTCTCAGCCAGCAAAGTCTAAAACCAATGGAAGATCCCAAATATGAGCTGGACGACAATTGCAATGTGTTTTGCATTTTTGCTCTATTCTTTTTTTTAGGAACAAACCAGATCATGCAGATGGATGAGAAAAGCAGGAGGGAATGAGATGAATGTGAGAACTGAAGGCAGTGTTCTTCATTAGATCGCCGCACGTGTTGGTTTTCATTTCAACAACACCATTTTTTTGCCATTTAATTTAAAAGTTTAATCTAAAACCCATCTTTTCCACAATTCCTCCCTGGAGGTTTTTTTTTTATTTTAATAAAGCAAGCAAAAAGGAAAGGTAGCATCATCTCGAAACTACTGATTGTACAGTGTATGACAAGTTTCTACACGTAAAACCTCAAGGTCCTTGGAAATGTTATACGCTTAAAACTATGGAAAAATGTTGCAAGATATATTATACATTTACATACTGTAATGTAAATATTATTTCCAATGTATTTTAATATCATGTCAGTTTTAGGTTTAATATTGATACGCGTGTCTACCTTAATGTATACACTTTTAATGATAAATATAGCTGTCAAAATAAACAAAGTGAGGTATACATGCATACCTTTACTCTACTTTTATTCAAAAATGTTGTTATTTTTACTCCACTACATTTAACTAACTATCTCAAAGATTCAGATTAATCAAACAAACATTAACAAACACATAATCATCATGTAGGTTAACTATTGATCCCTTTACGAAATGTGCATGCTTCCTGGCTGCAACATTAAAAGTAACACATTATTGCATCAACAGTGACGCGTCCTAAAACCCGAAAGTAAACTTTTTCCGGTTCCTTCGTCAAAAAGCAATGAGATTTCGCAATAGGATTTTGGAAAATAGCTCGAAATAAGGTCTGTGGTTGACACACATTTAAGAGAGGGATCATGTTTTGTTCAGCCGGATAATATCCACATGTATACCCTACTTTTATAATTTTCGAATCATAAATCTAGTCGCCAGAAGCAAAATGCTAACGTTATGCTATAAACGAACTACAAGCGAGAACAGCAGGGTCGCACGACTTCAACGTCACGCCAATTTAAGATCGTTTCAACTGACTTTCGCGCGCTTGCATATTTTAACAAAGCTTTTCATTTTAGCCACACTGAATCAGTGTGGCTAAAATGAAAAGCTTTGTTAAAATATGCAAGCGCGCGAAAGTCAGTTGAAACGATCTTAAATTGGCGTGACGTTGAAGTCGTGCGACCCNCTCTAGGTTAACGGTACTCTTGCTATCACTACTCACCGACACTCAATAAACCTTGTCCCTCATGCTAGCCCTGACAACACCGGTAAGCAGCACACCTTCATCTAGGCTGCACTGCTGTACGTGTCCTGACCTATGGTCCTGACCTGACTTGTAGTGGTTCTCTCCTCTATCTACACTCTTCTTGTCATCTTTGTAAAACAATATCAGACTGGTAATTGACACAGCCATGACTTCTAGTTAAATTCAGTGTGGCTAAAATGAAAAGCTTTGTTAAGATATGCAAGCACGCGAAAGTCAGTTGAAACGATCTTAAGTTGGTGTGACGTTGAAATCGTGCGACCCTGCTGTTCTCGCTTGTAGTTCGTTTATAGCATAACGTTAGCATTTTGCTTCTGGCGACTAGATTTATGATTCGAAAATTATAAAAGTAGGGTAGACATGTGGATATTATCAGGCTGAACAAAACTTGCATTTATCTAACAGGTTCGTTTTCCACTGACCTGATTTCCAGCTATTTTCCAAAATCTTGTGGAGAAATCCCATTGCTTTTTTTTCGAAGGAAACCGAGCGCAGCTTACTTCCGGGTTTT